ATTTATTTTATCTTATTTGTATTTATTTATTTATTTATTTTGTCATTTTCATCTTTGTGTATGTCTAGATTTGGGAAAAAGAAGACAGCCAATGTCATGTCTTCGTTCACCCGAATGTAGACATACACAAAGCTGGAAGTTGGCACATTGCTTATTTTCAATTTATCCATTTCACAAGGTTTACATGTAGGTGTTTACATGTTTGTGTTTACATGTTTGTGTTTACATGTAGGTGTTTACATGTAGGTGTTTACATGTAGGTGTTTACATGTATGTGATGGAGGTGGCCATCTTGGATTTTGATAAATTTATTCAGGTCACAAGATGGATGGACAAACAGACAGACTAAGGAGACAAAGACCATCAATTAAAAATTTATTTATTTTTAAAAATTCCTGGAGTATTTGTTGCTGCTAATGTAGGACCTGTCCCAAAACTGTCTCAAACTTGTCTCAGTTTACTTTTTGTAAATTTAAACCCCTAAAGTTGTATTTAATTTTATTTTTTTGCCGATTTGTGATTTTTTTTTTAATGTTCAATGTGATTCAAAGTAATTAATTATGAATTTTTTGTAAATTTTTATTTTGCCGTCTCGTCCCTGACAGCTGCAGCCCCGTGAGATCCTACATGTCTTTAGTTTTTGAGTTTGATAAATGCTTTGAACTGATGAAACACAAATCCATCAGTATGCAGCTAAACCTGCTGGATTCTTCATGTTGCTTTTAGAGTCCTCAGTAATCCCACAATGCACTGCACACAGAAACCTGAGCAGTGTAGTCACAGCTGCTAAAAATTAAATTAAGCTGCAGGAAGATCCATTTAAAAACCTGTGGAACCGGGGTCAGACCTCCAGAACAACAGCTCCCTCTCCGTGTCGAGGGCAGTTGACATTCCAAGGAGTCTGATTGACAGGCCTCACAGAGGAAGTCATAACGTCTACACTGTGCTCTTTAAATCTAAATCCTTACCGTGGAGTGGCAGAGGAAGCCGAACACGATCATGACGAGAGCCGGCGTGAGGATGATTCCGAACACGACGCTCGCCAGCCCGCCGTTGATCAGGGCGATGACCAGGTTCTGCGCGGTGACCAGCACGGAGCATGCCCAGCAGTCCAGAGACCCCCTCAGCTCCAGGGGGGCGTCCGCAGCCTCGCAGTTACTCGTAGAATAGGGAGGTGGCACCATGACCCCTGACCCCGCCCTGGAAGGGGAGCGGGCCTCAGAGGGGGCCTCGGACACCGTCTTCTCGAGCGTCGCGCTCCGTGACAGACTCATCGTGTCCTGCAGGAAAACAATCCAAGTGTCCGAGTCAGGAACGTGAACATAAATCTGATTTAATGTGACCTTATTAAAGGATAGTTTGGCTATTTTAAATACAGAGAGCTCTTGAACCACCTGACTGATTCAAAAATTAAAGACCTGATCAGTAAAAGTCTGACGGGACAGAAGAGCTTCATCACAGACCAGCCAAGACTGAAAAAAAAAATCTATTCTTCAAAGTTTCATAACAATGAAAGATAATATTTTGCACATCTTCCTGCTGGTTATTGTGTGAATGTTTATGAAGAATTCACACTATTGTGATCCATTTGTCTTCTGTATGTTTTTGGCATCTTTCTCATTCCACAATTTTTGTGCTTTTTCAACAAGTCATAAATCAACATGTTCAGCTCCTTCAGAAAAATCCTGCTGTGACTTTAGGTATTGGTGAAACTTCTAGCTTTTTGAAATATTTAGCCTTTTCCACCATTCTTTTCTCATAAAAAATGAATTGGGCTCATTTTACATCCTTCAGATCTTTAGATCTGTTTACAGCCTTTTACTGCTCCTTTCACATTTTGTTCAGCTTCAGCTTCTTTCAGCTTCCTTGTGCAAATTTAAACTGCTTTTCAGCTACTTTCAGTTGTTTTTTTCAGCTGTTTTGTTTAATATCTCAGATTATTTCTAACATCAACATTTTTGTGCTTCTTCTAGCTTCTTTCTGCTAATTTCAGCTTGTTATGTTCCTTTCAGCTTATTTATATAAGCAAGTTTAAGCTTTTTCTGCTATTTCAGCTACTATTTAGCTTTTTATGCTAATTTTTAGCTTTTTAGTTAATTCCACATTCTTAGCTCTCTTTTCAACGTTTTTCTGCTTAATTCAATGTGCACTCTCCACCTCCTTCTGGCAATTTAAACTTCTTTCTGCTTTTTTTAGCTACTTTTCATCTGTTTTTTTTTTAATTATTTTTATTTTCATATTTTTTCAGACAATTTCCACTTTTTTGTGCTAATTTATGCTTCTTTCAGCCTATTTGGGCAAACATGTTCTTTCTGCTTTCTGTTATCTTCTGCTAATTTAAGCTTGTTCTAGCCTTATAGCTGCCTTTTTAGCTTTTTATCTAATTTCATCTGTTCCCAGATAAATTCAAGTATTATGTGGTAATTTCTGCTACTTTCAGCCTAATTAACTTCTTTCTACTAATTTCAGCTTATTATGCTCCTTTAAGCTTTTATCTGCAAATTTAAGCCTTTTCTGTTATTTCAGGTACCATTTAGCTGTCTTTATGCTAATTATAGCTTTTTCAGGTAATTTCACATTGTTTGAGCTCATTTCAGCTCCTTTCACTTCATTCTGGTAGCTTAAGCTTTTTTCTTCATTTTCAGCGATTTTCAGCTATTTTCTTTGCTAATTTAGGCTGTTAGCTCATTTCCCAATTTTTGTGCTAATTTCTGCTTATTTAAACCTGATTCAGCAAACTTGTTCTTTCTGCTTTCTTCTAACTTGGGTTTCTTCTTCCATATCAGCAGTTTTTCAACAAGTTCTTCATCAACAAGCATCCACACTGTATTTTCACAGGAAATGCAATTTCTCTAGTACAGCGATTCAGCTGGTGGCCCCGGGTCACATCTTGTCTCAGGAGGAGCACAGCCCGGCCCACTGAGAATTCACTCATTCAAAATAACAATAAAATAATGAGATTAATTGCTGAATGTCAAGCTGTCAAACGTTTTGGCTTTCAGTAACTGTGAAGACTGAAGCTATTCTGAAACAGCAAAGTTGACTTTAGAAATGGTTTGACCTAAAAGATAAGCCTTTATCCGCTCGTCATAAAGGTCAAACCCATTCACAAAATGGATTTCAGCCATCGTATAATCGATACAACCCTTAAAGTTTCATAGCTGTTGATGTAAATGCTTTTATGTAATCATTTACATTATCATCAGTTTTGCATCCTATTTTTTTTTCATGAGATATAATGAAATTTCTGCAGACGAGTCCCAGGCTGTACGAGGAGTGCTACAGGTAGGTGCTGCTGCTCATTGTACATACAGAAAGAATGACATAAAGTATATATATATGTGTGTGTATGTGTGTGTGTGTGTGTGTGTCAGGGTGTTGTCAGCTCGTCACTCTCGTCTGAATTCATCTCTTTCTCCAAACTGAGGTCATTCAAAGAGTTATCTACAACAGGTAAGATACTATTTGCTTACAATTTTCCCACAAAAATTATCTTCAAAATGACCAAATTTTTCTTAAAGCCGTTGATAGAAGTTTAAATTTGCACTGAACAAACAATATATGAACTTCAACTGTTGATGTGATTTAGCCAACACCGAAGCATCTTTAATTCCCTTTGATGAAAAAAAAAAATCATTCTTGTCTCTGATTCCTCCCGTCCATCCAATAAAACCCTAGAGCTGTCCAAAGCCCCCCCATTAAGTAACGGATTCTTGAAAAAGGTGATGAAATGTGTAAAGTCAACAAATTCACTGCTAAAGAGGAAATGGGCCTCACTGACTCCACCCCTCCGTCGAGGCTTCAGGATAACCATCACCCAGAACAATGAGCTAAAAAAATCTCACTAATCATCAGAGCTGGGAGGAACAAAAAACGTCATTCATTTATAATTTCATGGTATTTTAGAAACTACACAGAGATTAATTTAGCGTTTAATAAATATTGGCTACTTTAGCTGCATTTTGAAGCAGCTGGGATCCATTAATGTGCTCCTGCTTTCTGCAGATGTTCTTAAAGGCAGATAATTAAAAGGACTAATGAAAGATTCATGCACGTTGTATGAACGAACACTTCAGTTTCCAGGTCAAACATCTCCTCTGAGCTCCACTAACACAAATGTCTGAGTTCTGTGGTTGATGGGATGGATCGCCCTTCATGCTGCTGTACTCACCCTGTGGTGTCCCTGGTGATCTGCAGTCCCAAGTACAGCTGTGTCCAAAACGTTTGGTTCTACAGCTCAAAATAAAACTCGAATCTTCTTCTCTTTCTGAAGACACTAACGGTAAATTGAAGAGGCTGAACTTGGATGGAGTTGTGCGTTCCCGCTCGGCGCTTCCTTCCCTCACATTCTGCTTCCTCGCTGACTCCAGCTCCAGATACGAGGCTGCATCCTGTGTTGCCTCAAACGGGAATGCTGTGAAAGCAGGCTGGGCCCTGTTAAAGACTCCCCCTTTAGGTGTTGGGGGGGTGATAACCCCTGGAAGCAGGGGGAGGGAGGACATGTGTTTATTTGGACAGATTTGTTTTACTCTCTCACTGAGCACTTTCTCCTCTCATCTGTCACACACTGATAATTCTGGGTGTGACTTTTAACTGCAGGGATGATTTTTTTTATTAAACGTTTGTGTTAAAAAATATAATAATCTGAATTCATTCACCTCGGCCGCTCCGCAGCATCGCAGAGCTCTGACGCGAGAAGGTAACAGGCGTGCCAAAGTAGTTTAAGATGTTTCAGAGGCAGGAATGACAGAGGTCTGACCTTTGACCCTTTGATGAAAAACAGATCTCCACTTTCAGAAAATATAGGGAAGTGAGGACGGGGGGAGAACGCTGACTAATTTGGTGGGGAAAAGAGGCTGTTGTGGGACTGATAAGGAACTGGAGGGGCTCCGTTCAAACAGTGATCTGTTTTACTCTCTCCCTGTGGATGTCTTTGTTCTTTCTCCTTACTTAAGCTCCAAAGGGAATGAGAGCACTTACAGAGTGAATACACTGTTTCTTTTTGTGGAAAAGAGTAAATAGTGTCTCACCTGTTGCAAAAACCCTCTTTGATTGATCAGTTTGAAGAAATGCAGTTTAAAGGTCAAATGAAAAGAGTTTTGAAGCTAACATGAGAGAACGTCATAAAAGGTGCTTGTTGTCAGAGTCGCACATTTAAAGAAATTTACACTAATTTTATATTAATTCTGGCTCAGCTGGTAGAGCTGTCTGTTCTCAGTAAGAAGGTTGCTGGATTGACTCCCTGGGTGGAGTTTGAATGTTCCTTCTGTGCATGCGTTGGCTTTCCCCGGTACTCTACAAACCAAAAACATGCATGTTAGGCTGATTGGTAACTCTAAGGTGTGAGTGAGAGAGTGAATGATTGTTTGTCTCTGTGTCCCTGTGATGGACTGGAGACATGTCTCCAGTGTCCAACGCCTCTTGCACAGTGACTACTGGACATGGACATCAGTGACCCTTATGACAAAAAGAGGAAGAAGTTGATACAGATAATTAATGGGTGAAAAGAAAAACAGACTTGTGTCTCTTTGGCATTTTGCTTGATCCAAAGTGTGACGCCGTCAGTGTCAAACAGGATTGTGAAGAAAGAAGTGAATCGAAATAGCTAGAAAGAGATCAGAGGCAGCGCAGGGTGACAAACATTGGCAAGAGGAGGGGACTATTTTATTCCCCACCAGGTGCAATGGCTGAGCCAAGGGGAGGCTCACGATGGCCTTGGCCACCATACATTAATCTTTGTCCACCCCAACCATTTGAGGAAATTATCATTTTAACAGCATAGAGGAAGCTCATATGATAGAGGTGACCAGTTTACATACAGTATATACAGGTATTTTTGGTGGCAGCCATCTTGGATTTTGAAATGGGAACCCAGTTTTTGATAGGAACCTTTTTATGCCTAGATGTAGCCACACACAAAAATGGAAGTTGGTACCTCACTTCTTTGTCCAAGTTATCTCGCTCACAACATACATGGATGAACAGACAGATGGACAGTTTGATGGAGGGTGTTTCCTATTCTTCCTCCTTTTCGATCTGCAACAGGGGACAATAAAATAAGCAAGAAAATTGTCAAAACATAGTAAACTAAGTGATAAAGTGAGTGAATTTTATAACATATGATATGAGTATGAGAGGAGGAATCCTTTCATGATTTGTGTAAAATATATTCTGTTACTAGTGACAATCTGCTACTACCTGATTTACACCAAACATTGCCTTTAATATTCCCATAACAGAAGTTATGGTTATTGCACAGCAAAATTGCCACATT